AGATGTCAGACTTATTGGGCGGTAGTTTTCGACTTTGTTGTGGTTACCGCTCTTGAAGATTGGTGTTACATGGGCAGTTCTCCAGCCGTCTGGGATCTTTCCTTCTTGAATGGATTTTTTGAATATGATCTCCAGGGGTTTAATGATTTTGTCTGATGTTTCAACAAGCAATTTTGGGTGAAATATGTCAGGTCCAGGGGACTTGTTTGGTTTTAGTTTTTTCATCGCTTTTCTTATGAGTTCGGGGGTGATTTCTATATAAGATAGTTCGGTCTGGTAAGGTCTCGTTGGAACTCCTGTGGTCAGACTGTGCTGACAAATAAAGATTTGAAAAATAACAGAATAACTCTCCTTTATTTAATATCTTTAATTTGTCTTATTTCCCAAGTTTATTAAGTTCACCTTGTTCTTCAGTCTTGGTGAGGCTGATCTGTAGCAGATTCACTTCATTTGCCGATTCAAAATTTCGCGCACTTTTGTTTTCCTCTTGTTTTGGCAAATCGGTCATAGTTACCTCCCCTCAATCTCTTCCGTCGTGAGACGGGGAGTGTTTATTATTCGGAACGTCGTGAACTTTCTAGACAGGAATTGCACACGCATGAGATTGAGATCAAATGTGAAAAATAAGACTTTCATTCGACAAGAGAACAACATTTTTAATCGGATATATTGGTTGTTTATGTGAATTAAACGATGACTGCTTCGGGAAAACGAAGGTAAGTCTAATTAATTGACGAGGTGTGGCATTTTATCCATCATTTACAGTTGTAGGCCTTCTTGTAGTACAAGAGTGTTGACAATATTGAGGTCACAAACCCTAAACCAGTAAACAGCTGATAATGAAACCGGATTCTTTAAAAAGACACACCAAATTACTGTTAAAAAGATAGTTAAAGAAATAAATTGAATTTTAATATTGTAACTTAGTTGCAATGCATGTTTTGATATGTCAATTCAATTACTTGTGTCATACTTCATCATTTTGCTTTACAGTGACAGGAGGCCAACTTTTTAACTTTATTTTTAGAATTGCATTTAAATGTGAAATTGCATGCGATGATCCATTGGAGAACATGTTTATCTCCAGTAAATTCCCTTCATCACAAATTTTTGACAATTACACTTTTCCACATTGCTGTTGTATGATGCAATTAGAAGGATTGTGTGTTCAGTAGCTTAAATATCTATAAAAGTTTTAAGTAGCAGACTCAGAGACTGGAGCAATCTTTCATGGTGACCAGGTTAAGCTCAGATGGTCATTATAGATCTAGAAATTCAAGATAGATTCTAGATTGAATCTCTATAATGACCATCTGATTTAAGAATCCGAAGGTCTGCTGTTCAAATTCCATTCCAGCATTTTCATTTCCTGTTCAGTTAATGGTGCTCATAAATAAATATATACCAGTGTTCCCTTTGAAGGATGTGTAGGCTGTTTTGTCTTTAGGTTCAACTACTTTGTTGAAACAGGGAGGTTTTAATTAGGTAGCAGAAGTAAGCAAGGGCAAATACCAGTTAACATGATGCAAGTAGCACAGCTGGTTAGAGCTTCGATACAGATATACAGATTGGAGGTCCCGGGTTCCAACATATACAGATTGGAGGTCCCGGGTTCAAATGTTTGTCTGGATGTTGCTTTTTCTTTCTTTGGGCAATCGGTTCAAAATCATAATCGATAATCAGTTTGTAATCAGAAGTGGTAAATCCGAAATCTATTTGTAATTTTATGGGACTGAATACCAAATTTATATAATGAATAGCTAGATAACAAGAAACTTTTACACAGTTTTAATTTGTTTCCATACAGTTCCATCGATCTTGTGATAAAATCGTAAAAATCAATGACATTCAAGGCATACTTTACATTGTATACATCAGACACTCCAGTTCAATAACGAACCAATCATGTCAATTAATTATGGAATTAGTAATTGATAATTGGAATCAAAAACGAAAACCAATCAAATTCCGATTATAATCAATCAACAGCCCATCGCTAGATCTAGAGTATTAGTTCAAACCTAATCTAATGATTTCATTATATAATTATGCGATATTTGATAAAAAGGGAAAAAACATGAAAAATGGTCATTAAGTCACGGGTTGTTCATAATAACTGGCTGGTTCCAGGAAGAATATTTACGACAATAACTGCAGTTATTTTCAGCTTATGCCATGGTGCTGCGTCCGTTCATCCAGCGTCCGTCTGTCCGGCGTCAACGTTTTACTTTAAACGACTTCTTCTCAATAACCAAAAGGCCTTGGATGATCATATTTGGCCAGTAGCATGCTGGGATCAAAGTCTACCAAGTTTGTTCAAATGAATGACCTTCATTCATTTTCAAGTTCACAGGGGTCAAATATGTTAAAATCTTAAATGACTTTTTCTCAATAACAAAAAGGCCTTGGATGATGATATTTGGCCAGTTACATGCTGGAATGAAGATCTAAATCGAGCTACCAAATTTGTTCAAACGAATGACCTTCACCCATTTTTAAGGTCACAGGGGTCAAATATGTTTAAAACCTTTAACTTTTAAGCAACTTCTCCTGAATACCCAACAGGCATAGGATAATGATATTTGACGGGTATCATGCACATATGAAGGGCTACCAAATTTGTTCAAATAAATGACCTTCACCAATTTTCACGGTCACAGGGGTCAAATATGTTTAAAACATTTAAACAACTTCTTCTGAATACCCAAGAGGCATAGGATAATGATATTTGGCCAGTAACATGCTGGGATGAAGGGCTTCCAAGTTTGTTCAAATGAATGGCCTTCATCTATTTTCAAGGTCACAGGGGTCAAATATGTTTAAAACCTTTAAACAACTTCTTCTGAATACCCAAGAGGCATAGGATAATGAATATGGCCAGTAACATGCTGGGATGAAGGACTACCAAGTTTGGTAAAATAAAATACCTTCATCTATTATCAAGGTCACAGGGGTCAAATATATATGTTTAAAACCTTTAAACATTTGTTTCTCAATAACCAGAAAGCCTAGGTATATGGCCAGTATCATGCTGAGTTAAAGGGCCACCAAGTTTGTTCTACAAATGACCTTGACATATATTCATGGTCGCAGGGGTCAAATGTGGTTAAAACCTTTAAACGTCTTCTTCTGAATTACCTAGAGGCATAGGGTTATGATATTTTGCCATTTAGATGCTGGGATGAAGGCTACCAAGTATGTTCAAATCTAGTAACAAACACTTTTCTTTTCAAAACAAATTTAAATCCTAGTCCATTATGTAATCTGTGTAATATGGAAAGAGAAACTATAGTTCATTGTTTATGGGAATGTCAAGAAGTGCAGGGACTACTGCAGAGACTTGAAACTCTTTGTGACATTCTTCTTATCCCTGTTTTAATAAACAAAGAATCGTTACTTTTTGGAATATTATCACCACGAGCGAGTACTGTTGATAATGAGATTTTAATTCTTATCAAACACTATATATATAAGACTAGATGTCTTCACAAATCTTTGAGTCTCAATGCACTTATCAATGTCATCAAAGACCATTTCCGTGTTCAGAACTATGTTAACCATAGTAAAAACAGTTACATAAGAAGGAAGTTTGAAATTGATTGGAGAAAATGGAAACCTATCCTGGAATTATAACCTGTCATCCTATAAATATGTATTTTTTCCTGAATCCCAAGCCTTGACTTTGCCATGTTTCTCTTATCCTTTAAATTACATATTTACTTCTGAATAAAGTAAAACTATTTACATGTATGTGCATTATTATGGGACCTCTCTACCTCTCTCTCTCTCTCTCTCTCTCTCTCTCTCTCTCTCTACAAGTCTGTCTGTATTGTGTGTGTGAGATGTACATGTGTGTGTGAGGTGAATGTTTATCAGAATATATGGTGGGATGAGTATTTGTGTATGGTTGTCAATATCTATTTTTATATATATAAGAACATATATATATTAATGGTAGCATGTGACTGATGTATTGATGATTATTGAGGATGCATCTGTTGATGATGATGATGATGATAGATTGATAGATTGATAGAATGATGATGATGATGATGATGATAGGATGATGTTTCTGATGATGATAGATTGATAGACTGATGATGTTGACGATGATGATAGATTGATAGAATGATTATGATAGATTGATAGTATGATGATGTTGATGATGTTGGTGATGATGATAGGATGATGCTGTTGATGATGATGATGATGATAGAATAATGATGATGATGATGATGATAGATTGATGATGTTGTTGATGATGATGATGTATTAAGATGATAATGGTGTATTACTATTGATGATGATTGACAAGGCTGATGATGATATTCAGTCACGATGAGGATGATGATGATGAAAGATATGACGATGCAAGAGAGAAACCATGCAAATGGGAATTGTTGTATGTGGGTGTATGTGTGTTTATGTATTTATGTAATAAAAATGTCTTTAAAAATAAACAAATTATAAAAAAAAAGTATGTTCAAATCAATGACCTTCGCTCATATTCAAGGTCACAGTGGTCAAATATGTTAAAATCTTTTAACAACTTCTTCTTAATATAACCAAGAGGCCTAGGGTGATGATATTTGGCCAGGAGCATGATGGGATGAAGAGCTACCAAGTTTGTTAAAACAAATGACCTTCACCCATTTTTACGGTCACATGGGTCAAATATGTTTAAAACCTGTAAACAACTTCTTCTAAGTGCCAATAGGCATAGGATAATGATCAAATATGTTTAAATCAGTAAATGACTTGTTCTGAATATTCAGTGTAAAAGGAGAGGACTCTTTACCAATTGAGCTATCTGGTCGCCGACAATGGACTCAGTCCAGTTCCGTTACATTCCTAACTCCTTTTTCGATTTCTTTGCCCCTGAAGACACAGCTATTTAATATTTACAACCCAGGTTCGGGTATCCCCTTGCTCTGCATACACCAAATGCTTGAAACAAGGGTTGGTCACAGGCACCAATGTAACAGGAGAGGAAAAATGTATGACCAGACTGGGGTTCAAACCCAGGACCTTCCGAACCCCAGACGGACGCTCTACCAATTGAGCTATCTGGTCGCCGATGATCGACCCAGTCCAGTGCTGCTACAAAAGTATAAATCACCTATCAGTTAAAAACAAAGTATGACTCCTTGATAAAATAATACAAAGCATGAAACTAATATAAGTTGGCAATACATTGCGATGGAAACCTTTATATGGGAGCTTGAGGCAATATTTATACACGTGCCAAGATTGATTTACTAGACTTCCTATTCACTCTTTGGCTTTAGAATAATTGTGTGTCCCTAAAGTTCATCCTCAAAAAAAGTAAGTGTTGGTATGTTGGAGAATATATCTTATTGTATGTTATTATACAAGTTTATAAACCACAGACCTTTACTTTAACAGTGCTTGTCTTCATTGTCTTAAAAATGTTAGAGTCAGCTGTCAAAAAAAGGTCGGGAAATCATAAATACAGAGTTTTTTAGGCCATGACTTCCATATATGTTTATATCACTATACACACAGGTTACAAGGTGTTCATAATTCTGGCATTTATAAGATTCTGTGTTAAATATAATATACATTGTGACATGGGCTATAGTCATTAACTTCACAGGCACCATGATCCTGTACATAACTCACTTACATAGGTTACATACAATGTCCTGTACATTAGGGACGTTAACATTATATACATATATACTCATCAGATGTTCAAATTCTGATAACGCCAAACAAGTCGTTAATGCAAAACTTTAATCCAGGTTATGTACAAAAATATTACGATACGTAAGTAAAATTGTGTGTATTACGTATACGACTCTATTGAGATTTAAAAAGATCACCTGAAACTAGATAACAATTAAAAGCTACTATAGCTTTTAATTTAGATAGTTCTAAAAAAATGCATTTCATGCAAGACTTTGCAATTGTAATTCATCAACTTGTCGCAGCCCCCCCCCGGCCACCCTGTATGCTTTTGTTGCGTTGTTGAGATTGCGACATCACCAGATATAAAAGATAAAAAATAAACCATACACATGTTGACAGTGTGTAAGATAATCCCAAGGTCGGGTTGGTATTATGTACTGTACCCGTCATAGATTCGTAACAATAGTGACTATGAGGGTATTCCTGACTCTGGTATAATATGTAACGGACACAGACTGGTACAGTCTGCCATGCATGCTATACAATTCACAATCAACTCTACATAGAAATTTGGCGAGAAACCAGCTATAACCTAGCTTTGGTTTTAAAATCGTCCAGTGGGATCTCATGATCAGTAGTTGGAAAAAACTCTACCACATTAAACTTTTAATCAAAAGTTTCTGTATCTTGTAGAACTCTTTTGGAAAGCATGTCTTAGAAATTTAGCATTGATGCCATTTAAGGATTACATGCCGTACTACTGCAACTGTACTTAACGGGAACACTTTTTTTGCTGTTTATGTTTTTCATTTCCTTTACATAAGTTGACTGTGCTTTCTTGTGTTGTTACAATTGTATTTTCTAACGGTCCTTCTTTGCCTTCCTTCTTCCTTCATGCAAAATATATCCATACTCCTGACTTTCCCTGCGCTAGGTACGGATACAAGTCCTCATGGCTGAAGTCCCTTTGTCTGTCGCCATTTTGAATGTGGACGGGATAATTTCGTACTTATTTGACGATTAAAACCTAAACGTTGTCTTGATTGGAAACTTATTCTCGCCACATTACAACTGAAGCATGTATTTAATAATGTTTTGATAGTTCAAATTTAAATGCAAATAACAGTCCCCCCACCCCCACCCCCAACACTGAAATTTACGAAACTACTAAACACTGTATAGCTTCACAGTTAACTGGGGCACTTTTCGTTGGTGCTGACAAACCAGACACAAATGGCCCTGGTTCCACACTGCATGTCACAGGCTATGATCTTTTGTGTTTTTTTGTTTTTCTTTCTTTTTTCGATAAATCGAGCTTACAAAATCATAGTTGAGTGCTCGTTTGTCAGCTGTAGTCAATCGACTTTTTTCAATTTAATCGAAATACCTCTAGCTTTGATAATTCATTTTATAGCTAAGAAAACCATACCTTCTTATTTTATGGAAATAATACATTTGAAAATTTGTTTCACAGATAAGATTATCATATCCTATTATTTTATGAAAATAATTCAGGATGAAATAAAAATAAAATCTACATACAGTATATATAGTGTTCTGTGTGTGAAAGTCTACATACAGTATATATATAGTGTTCTGTGTGTGAGAATCTACATACAGTATGTGTGTGAGAATCTACATACAGTATATATATAGTGTTCTGTGTGTGAGAATCTACATGTACAGTATATATAGTGTTCTGTGTGTGAAAATATACATACAGTATATATAGTGTTCTGTGTGTGAGTATCTACATACAGTATATATAGTGTTCTGTGTGAGAAAATCTACATACAGTATATATAGTGTTATGTGTGTGAGAATCTACATACAGTATATATAGTTTTCTGTGTGAAAATCTACATACAGTATATATATAGTGTTCTGTGTGTGAGAATCTACATGTACAGTATATATAGTGTTCTGTGTGTGAAAATATACATACAGTATATATAGTGTTCTGTGTGTGAGAATCTACATGTACAGTATATATAGTGTTCTGTGTGTGAGAATCTACATGTACAGTATATATAGTGTTCTGTGTGTGAAAATCTACATGCAGTATATATATAGTGTTCTGTGTGTGAGAATCTACATACAGTATATGTAGTGTTCTGTGTGTGAAAATCTACATACAGTATATATAGTGTTCTGCGTGTGAGAATCTACATACAGTATATATAGTTTTCTGTGTGAAAATCTACATACAGTATATATAGAGTTCTTTGTGTGAAAATCTACATACAGTATATATAGTGTGCTGTGTGTGAGAATCTACATGTACAGTATATATAGTGTTCTGTGTGTGAGAATCTACATACAGTATATATAGTGTTCTGCGTGTGAGAATCTACATACAGTATATATAGTGTTCTGTGCATGAGAATCTACATACAGTATATATATTGTTCTGTGTGTGAAAATCTACATACAGTATATATATAGTGTTCTGTGTGTGAGAATCTACATACAGTATATGTAGTGTTCTGTGTGTGAAAATCTACATACAGAATATATAGTGTTCTGTGTGTGAAAATCTACATACAGGATATATATAGTGTTCTGTGTGTGAGAATCTACATACAGTATATGTAGTGTTCTGTGTGTGAAAATCTACATACAGTATATATAGAGTTCTTTGTGTGAAAATCTACATACAGTATATATATAGTGTTCTGTGTGTGAGAATCTACATACAGTATATATAGTTTTCTGTGTGAAAATCTACATACAGTATATATAGTGTTCTGTGTGTGAAAATCTACATACAGTATATATAGTGTTCTGTGTGAAAATGCCATAGGGCAAGACCAGGACCCTGGCCCTCTGATCACCATACTGTCGCTCTTGCGTATACCAACAGATCAAGCTTTGTATATCTGCTGGATGGTGATCAATGGCAGTACTGACTGGTCCAGCCACGCTACTGCAGTCATATATATATATATATATATATAGAGGATCTGTCATAAGTTTCCCTTCATATTTGATTGATGATACAAGTTTTGGATTTTTCATGTTTTCGAACCTCTGGCAAATTAATATTACTTGACACACATTAAGTGTTTGTTTTATTTTAGATAAAAGAAGTATTGTCATCTATATAGAATAAAATTGCAAAGTACATAATAAGTACAAAGCTTTGAGAAAAATATCACATTTTTATTTTTCTGTGACTAAGATGTATAAATATAAGCTTATAAGGACTTCCTGGTTTGGTTGATAAAATAACTAAATCCGGTTTTATGATGAAATTACCTACATAGTATATCATTTAGGTGTATGAAATGTAGTTCAGTCAACTGGGTGAAGTGAAGGTATACATAAATCGTCCATACAACTTTTTTTCATTTATGTTTTTGCCTGTATTAACTTTGTTAGGGGAATGAACTTCATGATCGTTTTCCAGGAAAGAGTCTAGACTTCTGATATAACTTAATGAGTCATCTGGCTATTTGGGAGTAATAGGTTCATTACAAGTTATTCATGGTTCGTAGATCACGTCAGTACCATATATAATAGGAGTGCTAGAGTCTAGGCTGAGTGATAGAGTGCTTGAAAAAAACAATTGGAAATAGGTGTACCCTAGAAGGTGCTTGAATTTTCACAAAGTAATTCATGAAAAATGCTGTGTGTATATATACAATTATAGTATATCAATTCTATCTTCTTGTAATATGATGTATATATGTACATGTAACTGTTCTGTTTCACTGTGTCTTGAAAAAGGAGCGGATCGCTCCGAAAAATTTGACAACCTAAACTTGTCCACACTGTTTGAATTACTTCTTTGCCCCATATATATATACTGGAGACGGTTAACAATGGAGTTCATTTCTGTGAAGGATCTTCAAATCTTATTTAAAGAAGGAATTTCTAATAAGCATTAATTGATTAATATAAATCTGTTGTGTTTTGGTTTAATTTTGTAGCATGTGCATGTATTATCACTATTAACTAACAGTACCCACCACTATAAATATAGAAATCTTGTCCCCGTTCAGAAAAAATTGACATGTAAATATACTAAAATTGAAAGAAAGTTGTTTGTGATATATGTATATTCCTTTCAAGTGGGTGGTCTGGCAAAAACTGAAAATTTCTTACAATGCTCCATTTAACAAAATGTAATAATTTAAGCTGCCTGTAAGCAGTGTTCAACAAATTAATTGAATTTGAGGGAATTGCCAGATGTAGGGAATTCTACTGGCTTCTAAAGTTAAGAATGACCAGAAAATCAAAGGGTGTCTTACCTTGGCAAGTATGATTTAACAAGAAATGGTGTATTGATTACATTTTTAAAGGTCACAGATGTTGTTAAATTTACAGCACTGTTAAATGAGGATATTACGTTCTCATTGCCATTATATAAATTACCTACAAATATATATACCATATACAATGTATACTGCATATACCCT